AGGGACGGCTAGCGCAGATAGCCCTCATGTAGCTTTGCGCGAAATTCAAAAACAAACAAACAAACTGAGAAAAATGAAATATATAACCACACATCATTCCAAAGATTGATGTAAAGTCCATCACTTTTGGTATTTATCTTGCCAATTGGTTACAGATTTTGAGGACCAATGTGGGACATTTTATCCAATGTTAGTGTGATTAAACAACATGGTTTTTTGAGGCAAGCAGGTGAACTGTGATTGTGCTACGCCAACTCTGAACAAGTGTACTGAGAGTGTTATAGTGTGGGCTGAAATCCCTGAAATGGATGTGTGACTTTTGTATCAAGCATCTACGCATCTGAATGCATATGGATAACAAGAGGATTTGTTATTCCTAGTCCCAGGGATTTGTTTCTTTCGAATCCTAGTGACTATGGAAGAGGTGTTTTGTACGGCAGACCACTGTATGTTCCAGCATAACAGAGCCCCCTGTTAAAAAGGCAGTCTCGCGGTGTAACAGTGGTATATTTACGGACTTAGTATGCTAAAATTCGGGATTCGATTCCCCTCGGTGAATGCATAAGATTGCTCTAAAACTAAACAAAGGTCAAAAAGCATATGCAATCCATATCGAGTTTCAGATTTACAATATCCGTGTCTTAGAATGACTCACACGCATCTCAACTTCTTTATTTTATTTTTTACGATTATCAAGAGATATTAATGTTAAATGTTACCTCACAGCTTTTCAGTCATCAATTGAATGGGCTTTTAATCACCTGCAGGAAAAAATAGCACAATCTGGTACCTAGATGTGTTTGTAGCTCCCAAATATTCAGCCAAAAGATGTCGCTTCACCATATTACGTTATGTGACGACAAGAGCGCCCTCTTTAAAAATAAATTTACAGATACTTTACAGTAAAGTTAAAACACGTCTAATAATTGTGCGAGCTGTGAAGCCAAAAGTACATTTGAACTTAATACACTATTTTACAAATGGGAACGATCAAGAATGAAAACTTAAGCTACATAATCCGAAATTAACTTTAAACTACACTACTCTGGATGAATTAGAATTTCATGTGCAACTTACTTATGCATTGGCGGAGTGGGTGGACCATCCGTATAGTATCTTCCTAAAAAAACAATAAATTTTTTTATAAAGTATACAGAACAACACTCGGTAAATTATACTTTCTCTTGTAAAAAATTCATTGTTTAACAAAGAGAAATTTCCCTTCAATAATTATCATATTAATGCAATTTTTGTTCCTATGTTCACCTTGAATTACATTTATTCTGAAGGCCTTTTTGAAAATTGTCCAGATGTAGGCCTAGTGTCTTATCTGTATGTAGGTGGTCACATGTTAGTATTACAATATTAAGTTAACGAATATCACTGTAGTGTTTATTATATTAATGCTAGTTTAGTGTTGTGATCAGGTGATTCTGAGCCTAACTTAATTTTGTTAATTTAAATTTAAACGTGCTTAGTCAGAATTATTTAGTAGGACTAAAATAATGTTTTCAGGTTTACACTTAAATCTGCTCTTTTCAATAAGTATTTAGAAACCTATAGCGTTGTGTTTTTTTTGTAGTTAGGACTAATTATAAACCTAAAGTTAGGCCTACCTTAAAGTGTATGCTATATATAT